AAATTAAAAGCTACCTTTTTACAAATAAATGCGCTAAAAATGAGGCTCAAATACAGGGTAGATTATTACAAAATTTTACGTGTTGGTGTCCAGGGACTGGATGTAAAATACAAAGCCAAGAAAGAATACGGAGGTGAGTGACTATCGGATTCAAGAATTTTAATGAACGAAAAATTTACTCCAAGAATGAATTTATTTATTTAGCCTCAAAAATCAGGGCCAGATTGATTACCAAGGGCGTACGAATAAATCTACAGAGCGGGCGGCCGAAATGATAAATTGCCGTGTCCCGCGCAAGTACCACCCGCTGTAGAAATTCGTTTTTCTTGGAAAATACAGTTCGCATAGTAGCAAAACGGAATAAAAAGTACGCACTTTTTCGAAAGTTTTTCAGTTGTTCATCTTTCGCCTAAGAACACGTGTGCTAACTTCAGTTACTTTCGGTTCAGTGGTTTGGCTGCAAATGAGTGCACAGACAAGCGGACTGACGAGCATTGAGATCTGGCTTCCTTATGATCATATAAGATTTTGAAAACATTTTGAGATAAACTCGATATTGAAATCCGAACTGGCGTACAGTCTTTTGTTTTTGAGTTACGGGCAAAGGTAACATTTTTCGATTTTTAGATAAAAGCCTTTTTCTTTTTTTAATGTTAGGTAAAAACTTATCTGAGCTAACCTAATTTTTGAAATGGATTCAATTTAAAAAAAATTAAAAAATTGTGAAATGTTTTTGTACTTTTTGAATTTTTTTTGAATCGCTTGAATCTTTGTTTAATATCATCCCTGGTGTGCTATAGATTTGAAAAGAAAATTTAGTATGCTGTGTATTTAGATTAAAATATACAGGGTGTTCCAATAAAAACATGAAGTTGGGTCCGATAACTTTTTTACTTGGCCCCATATACTTCTTTTGGAAACGGTAGATCATTGCAACAGTCATTTGTAACAAACACATTTCCAATAACTTAATAAACGAAGAAATTGTAGGTTTTTATCTAAAAATCGAAAAATGCAACGAAAACAAAAGACTCTATGTCAGTTTGATTTCAACATACTAAAGACCCAATTTGACAACCGTATACGGAGAAAATAATTTATACCCAAACGTGAAATTGTTCAATTTTAATAGACATAATTTCGAATACCAAGCAGCTTTTGTTATATTTGATTATTTATGAGGATGCTATATTGTGTCATATTAAGATTTGACCGCTCGCTTTCTCCCATCTGGCCACGTCTCTGGCTCAAATACTGGGTATATTATCAAAAAATTGTACTTGTACGTCTCCAAGGGGTGGACTGATGAAAATGTAAATTAAAAAATCAAGGAAGGAATACGGGGGTGAGTGAATATGGGATTGACAGCATTTTAATCAGTGGTTCTTATACCAAATTTACTATAAGAATGAATTTATTAGTCTACAAATAATTGAGATCAAATACACTCTCACTGTTGAAAATGAAGATCACTCACAGCAGTTGAGGAACATATAGCTCGTACGTTTTTTTTAAAAAGCTTTCTTTTGATCATATAAAATTTTGAAAACATTTGGGATAAACTCGATGTTGAAAACAAAACTGGTCTACACTCTTTGGTTTTTAACTCGCTTTTTGACTTATGTGCAAAGGTCGCATTTCGGTTTTTAGATAAAAGTCTATAACTTTTTTTAATAAAGTTTTCAAAATAAGTATGCGGGGTCAGATAAAAAAGTTATCGGATCTAACCCCATATTTTGAAATGGATTCAATTCAAAAAGATTAAAAATAAAAAAAATTAATAATTGTGAAATTTTTTATATTTTATTGAATCATTTGAATTTTTTTAATCTTTTAAATTTGTTTTGAATTTTTTTGAATAGCTTGAATCTTGACTTATTTTGAAAACGGTAGATTATACAACAATCATTTGTAATAAACACATTTCTTTCTTTCTTTTTTTCTATCATGTTTACGAATTGTCCCATACTAACAACCAAATTTTGGCCACCCTATACAGAGCAAATAATTTATACACAAACGCTATATTGTGTCATATTATAAGAGCGGGCAAAGTGGGTGGCTTCGCTCTTGTTCCCCTTTGGCTACGGTCCTGTTTCAAATACAGGGTAGATTATCACAACATTTTACACATTCGTGTTCAAGGGACAGACTCATGAAAATGTGAATTAAAAAGTCAAGGAAGGAATACGGGGGTGAGTGATTGTGGGATTCACAGGATTTTAATGAGTGGGTTTTACACAAAATTTACTATAACAACGAATTTATAATTTTACTTGTTGGTGTCCAAGGGGTGGACTCATGAAAATGTAAAATACAAGGTCAAGGAAAGAATACCGGGGGAAGTGATTATGGGATTGACATAATTTTAATAAAGGTTGTTGTTCAAAATTTACTCCACGAACGAATGTATCATGTTACGTAACAATTTGGGGTCAAACACAGAGTAGGTCACAAAATTTTACCTGTTGGTGTTCCAGGGGTTGGACTCGTGAAAATGTAAAATTAAAAGGTAAAGAAGGAGTGAGTGGATTATGGGATTCACAGAATTTTAATGAAAGGTTATTATACAAAATCTAATCTAAGAACAAGTTTATAATTTTACGTAAACATTCGAGCTCAAGTACAGGGTAGATTATCACAAAATTTTACCTGTTGGTATCCAAGGGGTGGACTCATGAAAATGTAAAATAAAAAGCCAAGGAAGAAACTGCACCAATATAGACAACGGGCGTCAAAGTCACTTCCGGTTGGCGAATATTGACCAAGATTTAATCAATTACTCCCTTGACCATTGTGTACCTCCCTATTGCTAAAAACAGAATTGGAGAATTCGAAACCGTTAGTGAGTTATCGTGTCCTCAGACGGACGGACGGACGGAAGAGCAGAAAGTCCAAAATCATAAACTCTCATTTTAGGTAAACATACAGGGTAAATTATTGCGAAGGGGTGGTCTTCTCGAAATGCGTTAATGGTAGATGCACTCGTTCTCTTTCACATCATAGTTTTCAACTTTTTTTAGGGAAATTATGTTAGACATTTTTGAAGAATAAAAAAAAGTGGCATTAAAAGGGTTTGGTTCATCGGGCCGAGATCTCAGCACATAGAAAAGTGTTTTGTTGATTTGCGAACGTATATACTATATAGGCCAATTTCTTTAAGAAAAAGTTAATCGTATGAACCACAGCCGACTGTTTGTTTATATTTTTAACCTTTTTTACATGGGCGGTACAGAGTGAATACCAAATTAACGAAGCTGCAAGAGGTGTTTGCAAAGTGCATCCGTCTGTCTGTTCGGTTTTAGAAGATATTGACGTACTTCTGTTCGCTGTTCTGTTTCTGAACCACTTGTCCAGAAAGTTGCACGTAAAATGCTACTGTCTATTGCAGATCCGCTCTATATATAAAACGGCCGTAACTCTACACATACATAAATGGGCAATTTTTTCATTCCCAGTTTATGGTCAATTAAGGTCTAACGACAAAGAATTTATGCATAATAAAAATATTTTATAGCTCACAAATATACCTATAGAGGTCACTGCCATCGATACTTAACCTTTGAATTGTAAATTTCAAGTTCAGATACAGTAAATCTCAACCTCAATTTCCAATGTGGCACAATTAATTCCTGGCGGGTCCAATTTTGCTAAGAGCTCGTCAATATTTCAGTGGGTCGTGTAATAAATGTTTTTGTCTCTCTTCGCCCCGATGCCGTAATGAGTATAAACGTTGGTCAGGTGCGACAGAGGAAGTAGTGATTGAGCAGAACTTTGTTTTATTGGATAGGATAATCTGCTCAAAAGGCACCTTTTCCAAGGTAAAATTGAACGGCTATATCTCCCTTTACGCTAATTAACTAATTAGTAACGCGGGGACGTCAATATGTTTCTAATCGTAAATAGTGGTTCAATCTCTTCGGCGATCGGGGCGAAATTATAAGTTTTGTTTTTTTGATGTAGTTATAGTAATTGGACGAAAATTATATTGCGTGTAATCCAACTACCTATACCTTTTGTATAACACGCAGTCTGTTTTTTGTTTCGAATTTTAACTAATTTCACAAATCGAATTCAGCTGTCTAATTTACTCGAAGACGTTTAACAGGGATGAATTTATTATTGGAATTGAACAATCTCATTGTCTATTCCTGATATTACTTGATTACAGGATTCAGGATTATCCAATTCGCTAATGAGATAAATGTTAGGAAACCCTGTTTTAAAGCAAATGGCATCCTAGTTGCACCCTAAATCTACAAAAAAAGGTCTGTAGCAATGGCAAGTTCGACATAAATAGATAATTGCAGCATTTTCCAAAATTATGTACTTTTCTCCCAGCATTCTTCATCAATGCAGAAAGTTACGAACTTTCGAATAGCTCTTAAAAGCTGTAGTTGTATTTTCCACCCCTACCTCTTTCTATTTCCGTCGGGGTTATAGTTGAGACGTTCTGTTTGGCTTATGTAGTAGTCGTACGATAAAGGAAACACAAGATCGGACAAGCACGCATTTTTTCAAATTTGATTAAAATATCCAAAAATATCACCTCTTTTGGTCGGTTCTCTAAATGGACTAAATGGCGCATGAGTGTTCCCGCATCGCGTACTCTCCCTCGTTTTTATAAAAAACTAACCCGATTTTCAGTTTTGGTAAATGAATAGAGGAGATTTTCGAAAATATCTACTAAGCTACTCTGGTAGTTTGCTATAAGTTTCAATTGAATTTTCCATTTCCTCTGGCGATGTGTGCATATTGAGCCCATAGTGTTCTCAAGCAGTGGAAAACAAGACAGACTTTGGTAGGTTGCGGAAACGTGACTTATTTTAGTTGGAAAATTGAAATTTTATCGACATATTTCGCGTATTTTGATTTCCCCAGAGTTATACGGCGAAGGGTCGAAATTGTTTACTTGTGTTAATAATTATTGAAAGGTTATTATGTGCATGCTTCCGATTCGAGGTTTTGTAATTACCGATGTTTTTCTTTGCAACTTACTGTAGGGAGAACCATTGCGAAATTGAGCGGCGGAGGCGGAACAAGATGACGGCGTACATCACCGAACTTTCCGACATGGTTCCCACGTGTAGCGCCCTGGCGCGGAAACCTGACAAGCTGACGATACTCCGCATGGCTGTGGCACACATGAAAGCGCTTAGAGGTAAGTTCGCCACTCAAAAGATCGTGTATTTACAATGTTTCGGATCCGAACGCAAAAGCAAATTGTGCATGAAATGATTGACTATTAACTTTTATGGTTTGGAAGTAAATATGGCCTACGGTTAATTTTGCCCGAATTCGAGCTTTAATCATCCGCGCTTGTTTTTTGTTTGCAGTTATTAACGAACTAAGTGAATGATATTAATAGCCTATGAAAGTGATAATTGTGGCTTTAACTACACAGCATTCAAACGGGTTATTAAACAATTTCCTTTACTAATTGGATTTTTTTGTAATTTATGATCAATGTTTAGACTTTTACGTCTAGACGCTAGTGCCACTATAAGAATGCGTAACCTATCGTTTGAATTATGATATATTAACATCATTGCCAATAATTACCACCTAATTTGTGGTTTTAAGTGCTTTAAAACTTATTTACTGAACCAAGTAAAGAGATTTTTTACTTGAGCGATATTGGTTTTTGGAATAAATTTTAGTCGCGTACCACCTCTGATACATTTTGACTTCACAAACCGCTCTTGATTACCCACTTGGTTGGCCGATTTTAGAGGTTGAGATCACCTCTTCCACACATGGTTTTTAAGAACGCGTTAAAACGTTCCCAACTCCAGATTTGGGAAAACTTGTATTTCCACGTAATAAAGAAATTTACAAAAGACACACCTGCAAATTTCACACAACTTAAACGTGTTATCCAATTAAATAAATCAATCAAAGACGCATTAAAATTTTCGGTGTTATCGCAGTAGCATAAGCAATTTTTAGTAGATTTGTAGGTATTTAACATTTTTAGGTATCTTTGGTAATTTTTAGTACCTTATCTGGCACGGAAGCACTGAATAGCGTGTGTACTCATGAAATCTCTTAGAAATATTGTTAGTGGTCTGCCTCGAAAGCCGTTTTCTAAAGCAAAAATGATTTCTAAACGTGCATCAATTTTATTGGCGTTATTTAAGGAAAGATGTGTATAGATTTAATATCAATTGCAATATTTGAATAATTGGTTCACTTAAGAAATTCGGTTTGAACATATTTTCTAAAAGAATGTGCGACAGAACAGCTTCCTAGCTCAAGCAAAAAAATCGCGCTTATAGGAGAGCGTCTTCAAAAAATGGTACCTAAGTGTAGGGAAAAAAGTTTTCTATTATTTTCTGATGTAGGATAAGAATATTCCATAAAAAGTATAGGTTTCTATTTGAAAAAATAAAGTTACCCCACACTTGACCCTTAAGAGACAGTTATGTGAAAACGTGCATAGCATCTTTAAATGGGCCCCTCCATATGAAGAATATCAATCATTTTTTGATAGCCCCGTTAGTTTCTGCAATTGTCGACTGTCTCGAGATAAATGGAACATCTTGTATATAAACTAATTAAGTGACATAAGATTACGAAACTGGTAGTCGCAAAGTTTACCGCAACTGACAAAAGAAATTTACAACCTAATGCGTCTCGCTTATGCACGTGCAGTTAAATCGGGATAAATCATCCCCTCATCTAAAAGAATAACTTTCGATGTTTTTGATTAACCCCTTAACGAGATATTGCCAAACATATTTTGTAATTTCTTCTTTCTGATCGCCCCGTATTTATAGGTATTATCAAGGAAATAGTTATCGACAAGTATCACACATTGCAAAATATTTTTGGCAATATCTTGTTAAGGGGTTAATCAAAAACATCGAAAGTTATTCTTTTAGATGCGGATTTTAATGCTCTTCAAATAACCTAAATAGATTTTTCCTCTAAAATTATTAGGGAAGCCAATAATGGACCTCTAAATTTATATGGGATTTACTATGTCCCGCCTGTCGATGCAACACGCTGTCAAACGTATCAATTCCGTGTGCCCGCGAAACTTTCCGAAATTTCCACGGGAACAGAACAGGAAAAAACAGGACTTTATGTTTTACAGTCGACAAGAGACTTGGCATTTAGAACGTAGGCTTCTTTGAAGGCGGTATTTAATATCAATCGCAATATTTGGTATAATTGGTGCCCAAACACCCTTAATCTGCAATTATTCGTTGTCGCTTGTGAAAATCGGCCAGGTTTAAAAATTATTTCTAATAAAGCCTATGCGTACAAACTTTACTGGTGATATTTAAGGGTTGATTGCAATGGCCAAACACTCATAAATATAGGATTTATCCATTCATATGCATATATATACTCACACTAGAATGTTCAAGCGTCTACCGGAAAATACTCTGAAGTAAGAATTTTGAATTGTTTTCAAAGAATCGCCGAGAGCCTCTAAGAAACTAACTGCTTAGAGGCTTTTAAAGGCATAAGCGATTATTACCCTGTAGAGTGTTGTAAAACTTGTATTGTCACAATAGCAGCTATCAAGGGGAGTCTTCTTGATTGATTTAGAGTTTTTAAAATCGCTTTTTTACACGTTCCTAGCAATCAAGCTATTACGTATAATGTTTAAACGGGTTTGGATATCCCAATCTCTTGATGAACCTTATGGCCCATTACTAGTTTTAAGGGTTTCTCCGTGCTTTTCAAGGGCTTAACATTCGCCTATAAGAGTTTCCAAACGTCCATAAGAATCTTAGAGAAATATAAAAATATAGGTATGTAGGAAACCTGCGTTTTATGAGCCGTTAAAAATATCTTCAAAAGCTTTTACTAGCCTTCAAAATTTAGAGTCACAAATATTCTCCATTTTGTAGAGCCTTAGCGCTTTCTAAGTGCATATTTAATTAATCAGTAATCACTAATTATTTTTTGTTTCTTACTAGCCTGTTTGGACATGCTGTAACTCCAAAGATAAACGAGGTCTACATTTTGCCACTCAATTAATGAACATACTAATTACTCTTTTGTTGTACTACTCTTAGGAGTGTGTTGGTCTGCTGAGTACATATGTAAGCCATAAGACGTGCTGTTATTCTAAAAATAAACGTGCAGTAAATCTCTAATTTAGGCCTTACAGTGTAGCACTTTATTAGCTTTTAATTGAACACAGATTGTCCCAACGTAAGAAGGTCAATTATTGTGATAAATACTTAGGTTTTTGCCTATGTCTATGCTAATTCCCGAGTTAGCTTTCACGGTGCCATAGTTGAAAAATGTTTCGAGTTTTAAAAATTTAAAATTCCCAAAAAATAATCACATAATTTCACGGGCGGGACCGCTCGATGGTCTAAAATTGATGTAATGAAGGAATTAGAAAAATTGCCGGGGGCATAACCCGTCAATCTGCCGTCAATTTGAACGTACTCATTTCGGGGTTTCGCATTTTTTAAAAACGAATCGCTCAGCGCGCGTACTATGGGCGTATTTCTAATGTAACGCCATTAAATCGTAATTGTATTCGCATAGATCGTATATTTGTTGTTAAGTATGCACGGGTGTGTTCGTGCATAAAATATGCAAAATTTCATTAGCGTACGTAATATTAATTGGCGTGTTCGTTTTCTTAGTCGAGTAGCGGCACTTTATTCGATTAAATTGTCGTAATATCATCAATTTCTGCAAATTTTGAAAATGACGTAGATTTTTCCAGCGATGCGTCATTGCTGTCGAGGATTTTGGAATTTTTTCGCCATGACTTATTTGTCTGTCAAATTGTTTTGCGTTTGAATGGGAATGATTTATTTAATATTCAACTGGCGCTTTCGTGTTTTAAAACGGACGTTTGCTATTGTCTTACAATTTATATTCAATGGACGATTTTTCCTAGTAATTCAAAATGGCTGAATAGGGTAACGGAGGGTATTTTTTCATATCACACATCGCCATATTCCGCTTACTTTTCACAGTCCATCGTACTCGTTGGCGTGAAATAAGGTTACCCTGTTGCTTCTTTATTTATTCGCGTTATGGTAGTTGTTTCTCCATGAACAGTTACAATTCTACCTGCTTATTATTGGGCAATCTGCACGCGAAGCTATTATTAATATTCCGAATATATTTTCATAAGTATAATCATTTAAATTACTCGGTAATTACTACGCCAATATTATAGTTGTGTCCAAATTCCTACTGCGTTTTCTTTGAGAATTTCGCGTTTGAACACCTTGCATCTTACAACAAAGTAACGTGTAATAATATGCGCAAACTATTTCCAGCTATGACTGCTACATGCCGTAAAATATCAGCTCAATTGTTTTTATTTTTTCTAACTCGCGTTACGCGATAACATAATCTTTTGTACGTTTGTAAAAGGTACATTCTGCAATGTAAAATAGCTCGGTTTTTTTTGCATTTTACGACAGTCTAATAAAACTGTATTGACACATCAAAGTTTCATTACGTATTTTAATTCATCGTGGTTTTGGCATCAAAGAATTTATAGTGCGTAGCAAAAAAATGAACGTGTTTAGCGTTAATTCAATTACTTTTATTATAGGTGTCATGCGACTACAGCCAAATTGAGGGCTCTGTCCCCAGCCCCCCATAACAACAAAAACCAGTTATAGTTATTTAATATTAAATTAAGACAAATTTTTAATTTCGCTGCGCAAATTCAAATTTAAAGAATTTCAATAGGGGGCCGCAGACATGTAGATTATTGGACCAACCAATTTGGTTTGTACCGCCTCCAAATCCCATCTACCATTTATGTGGTGCCAAGACTAGGTACTTTAGGACGATTTTCAGCTCTCATCAGATTTTTTTTTATTTCGATTCATAAAATTGTTCAAATTATTTAATTTCCTTATTTAGTACTTTGGCTTAATGGGATTTTTCTTCTTGGAACAGGAAGTTTTTGAAAACCGGGTTATTTATTATTTAATTGTAGATTGCGGTACGTTAATGGTTGAGAAGATGAATATAAACTCTTTTCGATTCTCTCGTGAGGTAAATCGAGGTCTTGTACTTTTAGTACTGGATTTTATAAAAACAACAAATGATAATGAATCTGGATTCTGGTTTACAATATGAGGGTGGACAGATTCGACGCCTACCTAGGCCTCAATTCGGGCTCTTTTGGCCACCTCCCTGACTGGAGTCGCTCGATGT